TCCTTTAAGAAGATGGCACGTCTCCTGACGACGTGGGGGGAAACCCTGCATGGTTTGGAGGAGGTTGCGGTGTCGAGCCCGCAGACTTGTCCTGGAAAGTGTACAGGAGCACTCAAGTGTAAGCATGCCACACACCACTATTACTTGACACGTATGCAAATTAATGTTGTTCTTGTCATTGAAGGTTGGAGACGCTGCTTAAACTGCAGTCAGTTTTGGTGCTTGAACAGCATGTCGTGACCAAATAGTCATCACTGAGATACGTCTATTTTTTGTAGTATGGCAAACAGCATCATATTTAAGATTGCTTGAGCAGAATAATGAACAGTATTACATATGCGCATCTGCGTTTTGTAATCTAAGCGGGAGTAATTTAGGTATAAAGCACATCCAATTGTTGCACCATGACCCTGACAAATAAAGATAGTTGTCATGTGTAAGTGCTTGGCCTACAAGCCATGGCTGATGGATTTAAGCCACATTGGCCCCATGCATTCTTTATGCTGCTGCTACACTTTCCCTGCGCTTTCTTATCCTGTCAACATGGCATTCTCACAACATAAATAGTTGTTAATCCTTTTATGTTATGTGTAAAAGACTACACATGCATTAGTTGTGGGTCATGTTTGAGAAAGTTAGAAGACTTGGGCTGCCCACCTGACCACAATGTAAAGCCACAGGGCGTCTCAGTTCATTTACATTCTACCCTGAATACTGACGTGTTCCCAAACCCTGGTTCATAACTCTATAGGCATTAGTAAAAACAGTGTCATCATGGGCACAATATGTCCCTGTGTGTCATTTGTAACACTTCACATCATCCATTCAAACTCCGCTGAAACCCCCAATAGTGGTCTACTTTTAAAATAGTGTTTGTAAAGAATTTTGAAAGATGAGCAGATTGCAAACAGTTAAAAAAGCATTTATCAGTGGAGCGCTGAGAGCTGATGTAAAACTCAACCTGAAGTCTGTGATAATAATGTCACACTTTATTAACCCCAGGACCTCTGTAAGAGACTCGGCTTTACCCACGGTCATTTCAGCAGGACAGATGTTTGTCTTAAAATGCTTTTAGTGTCTTCATCTTCTCTTTTACTAAACAAGAGCTCTAATCCAACTGTTTTATGGAGGTTGGTGCATGAAAAGGTAGCTTCCCACACCCCATTTTTTACGAAATGATACTTCATCTGGATTTCTCCTTTTTGGAGCTTGGACCTCAGCTTTTAGATTGGCGACAGGATCATATTGCAGAGCAGCAGCTCGGCACCATGTGTATAAGACCTGAGGGATTGTAATGGAAACTTACCACATAAGAATCTGCCTTTCAATGTGTCTTTTACCTTTTAGTCTGCCTTGTAATTATTCACTTAAAGGTTTTCGTTACCTTAAAATGAGCCATTTTTATCTTCTACAGACGCCATGTTTAACTGCCATGTTTCTACAGTAGCCTGGAATGGACAAACCAAACAATGGCTCTAGATGGGGCCTTTTTGCGTTTTTATGTGGCCCCTGTAGTTTCTCCTACATCCTTGGAACGGTAGGTTGAGGCGAGGGCGTTGCAATCGGCTAGATGCCACTGAATCCCACACACTGGACATTTAACTCACTATGACCATCTTTGATCCTAATGTGAAATCCTCCCCTTTTGTGGTCTTGTAGTAGATGTACCTCCATACAAACTAGTATTGTCATTTAGTGTGTATAGAAATTCCCTCAAATAGAACCTATACAATATGTTTTAGTCCATTTATTTTACAGTTCTCCTTTGCCACAAATTCAGTATCTTCAATACGACAATTAACTACTTTGATTAGGGGAAGAGAGACAGCGAAAACAGAAAAACAGACACAAATTACTTACCCATATGTTAACCCAGTATTAGAGGCAGTGACCCAAAAACCCTCCCCCATGTTGCGTCCAGGCCCACTGGAGTCACAAGAGTTCATTCTGAGCACTGTAAAGTGTGTAACTCAGCAGTATGTCCTGACTTAAGTTAAGATAATATTCTTCTCTTTCTTCTTCTTGTTCTAATGAAAGACGCTATTGAGTTACATTACTGAAATGGAGTTTGACCCATATTAGAGACTAAAATTGAGAATATTTTGATTTATGTTGCTTTCCATTTTGTTGTTTTTTGTTGTTTTTTGTTTTTTGTTTCTTGTCTTTGCTCTAGCTTTATGGAAGTGCTATACTAAATCACTGCAATACTCCTTTAGTGTGGATTCGACACATATATCTCGACCTAGGTCAGTCATCTCTCCCCCACTCGACAACACCGAAACCAAGATGATTGCGGCTGTTGTTGCTACACAATAGTTCTTGTGTGCTGGATTCGGAGAAGTGGAGCTGATGCACCAATTATAAAACTGTTATGCTTCAATGACTTCTGTGGGAAACATTTCATGAATTTCTGATGCTGAATAAAAGAAGTGGTATTTGGAGTCAAGTGACTCCAATAAATCGGCCGGGTCGATATATATTTGCAGATGTCTGCTTCTTGTAGATATATCTACATCAGTGTACTCGGAAAGCAGTACAGAAGTGCCAAAGTGGGTTTGAGGTTCATTTACCTAACAGTGTCACCTTCACATAGCACTGACAAGTTGATTTTTACACTATAAAATGTCCCACTCTAACAAATCTAAGGGATATACTGTATATCAAGATTATTTGTGTTAGGTGTCCCAAATAATTAAGATTGGCCAATAGATCTCCCAAATATCAGCCTCAGAAATCCAGTATCAGTCAGGCCATAGTGTGGAGTTTTTTTGTATGCACTCCTCTATTGGGCAAGACCTGCTGCGTTGTCATTTACTTAACATCTGGAAATATCAGTTGACAGGACACATGATAGCTCTGCTTGTACATCTTTGGTCATGCATAAAATGTTGATGAACGGTAACAAATTGAACAATTGTAATTTGGTTGGGCTTATTGTGCCGAGGCTTAAGTCATGACATTAAACCAGCATGAAAGGCTTTGTGTAAAGCACCTCTAACAAAAAAATACTGTTACATTTACGGGTGAGAGTGCTTCATGGCATTGTTGCAGTCAGTTCCATTGTTGAAGACAATTGTCAGTTGTACTGACAACACACACTTTCAGTCACATTCAAACAGTTCACCATTTACATATGAATAAAAATTCTCTCTATAATTCTTACCCACAATGCCACTGTTTCTGGTATGGTTTTCCTCCTACCTGTGTTGATTTCCGTGCTCTCTCCAACACCCTTCTGTTATTTTCACACTTGATAGTAACATGTATTGCACTGAGCATTTTGCATATTAAGTATCTGAGTGATCTGGGATCTGTATGAGGTCACTTTGGCAGCCCTTTGAGGGGTTCATTGCACTCCCACTGAATCCTGACCTGTGGTTTGTTTCATTGTGCAGCACCCACAGGAACAGGCTATTCTTGCAATAAATCATCCTCTATCCTCTGATGTATGCTTCTTCTCGGAATAACACTATGTTAGGTTCTCAAAACCTTTTGTTTTCTAAATGTGAACTTCTAAGTGCAGGTGAAGATAACGTATAAGCAAGAGAATAAAGTTGATATTTGGTTGATATTAATTGTGTAGGAATGTGGGAAAAAATTTTAAAAATGTTGTTTTTTCCTTCCCTTCCTTTCTCAGATGAGCTGAAGAAGAAGTTAGAGATGCAGAGGAGGCAGAGGGCAGCTCATGGTAAGATCAAACTGACAATGGATATTCCCACAGCAAAACTTGAACCTTGTGTCTATAGACGAGCAGCAACCAACAGCTAAACAATGCATGTACACGTAAAGCAAGTAAACGAAGCATGTCCAAATCTCCACATGTTGCCTTTTTGTAGAAACTTTTGAGGAACTCTGTTTATCATCTTTTTGATATTGAACTCCTGTGAACACATTGTGGGCGCTGTATGTGCAGCGGTGCCCACTTCAAAGCCTTAGCAGTAGGCCCTCGCTGACTGAAAGCTTACTGACCAAAGACTGGGCGTCACAGCTCGAGAACTCCTTCATTTACTCTTTTTCTGACTGTTTTGATCAGTGGCATAAATGCTTTGATGAGGAAATCTGGTTGTAAAGCACACAAACATCTTCCTCCAGTTCAGGCGCCAAAGGCTTTTCTTGTTATTTTGAGTCCGCCATCAGAGAACACATCACAGCAGCCTGGCTTCTATTATCCAGGGCCAATATTTAAAATGTTGTCTTTGAATGAAATGCATTCACATGTACACAACACACGCTTAGCTAGATTCAGGACCGGACACAAGAACACAAGAAAATATTATGAATGTATTTGTGATTTTATCTATGGTAGGGTTCTCAAATTGATGTGAAATCCCCCTCCCTCTGGCCTACGTGATGTCATATAATATAATCCAACCTGCAAGATTATTATTATAAAATTATAATTTATTTTCTAGTTGTTTTATATCAAACTAACTGCTCTTCATATTTGGCTGCAAACAACAAGGATGATATAAAATGATGATTAACATTTATAGAAACTGCTGTTTGCATTTTTTTGTTAAGTATGATGTTAGTAATGGAAATACTTTCAGAATATTGTCCTTTCTTGTAGTACTTCAACGTGGCCCTCCTATGAGATGATACCAGCAGTGGCCCCAAGCCAGATTGAGTTTGAGACCCTTCTAGATCTGCAGTATTTCCACATGTTAAACTTTTATCTATTGGCAGAAATGGAATATAATAATCATAGGTATGTTTTCTTTAGTGTATAATCACTGAAAATAAGAATCGTTGTGTTTTCGTTGCTGCTATGTTGAACCCGCCGTGTTTCTACAGTAGCCCAGAACAGACAAACTAAACACTGGCTCCAAAATGGGCCTTTTGTGAGTTTTGCAGCCTCTGTAGTTTCTCCTACTTGCTTGTAAATCGATTGGTATTCAGTTCAATGCAATCTGTACCTTCACAGCCAGATGCCACTAAATCCTACACAATGGTCCTTTATAACATTTGCTATGCCTTCTGCATGTCTAACCCTACCATAGGTGTAATGGGGAATCACACAGAGGCCGCAGAAGAGGTTGACCCAGTGGAAGAAAACCTGTGCAAAGACATTGAGCAAGAAAAAAAGGCGTGAGTGTGGTAAAAGTGCATTTTGATGTATTACTATACCAAATGTTTTCATAGTTTCTCCCGAGACCCTGCTCAGATTGATTAGACACAGCAGATGCTGTGTAATGTGGACAAAAGAGGAATTTGGCGCTGATAATATGTCCCATCAGTTACAAGAGCACTATTGGCCGCCTGAAAGCATTAAGGACGGAGATTGAGCACCTGCAGCTGTTGTTGGAGAGGGCAAAGGTCAAGCTCCAGAAGGACTTCCAAAAGTGGTGGAGCCAGGAGGAGGCTTCCAGTGTGCAGGTGACTGACCTTACTTTTCTCCACCTATTTATTTATATGTGTGACAGCACCACATAAAGCCTCTGTAAGCATGATCATGTGCCATAAGTATGTTTGTGAGGTTAGATAGAAAGGCTTGTCTGTTTGTTTGTTTTTGTCTCCATGCTTATTTTTCTTTGGTGAGTTTTTTTGAATATTGGCCTCTGTTAAGAGTGTGCGTGCAAGCTGAAATGCATGTGTACCTCTGACTTCGGAGGCTTTTATGGCACCGGTGTGACCCTTGCAGCCTCTGTTCTGCATCATGCTGAATGGGCCCTGGTGGGACGATATGTAGGAGGCAAATACACGGAAACACATTTATAAAGTGTTCCATGTGACCCAAACAAGAGCCTGGAGAGCAGCTTAGAGGCAAGACAGCAACAGCATCAGTACATAGTCTCAGCAGTTAGTCTTAACAAGGACAACATGTTCATGAGGTTTCTCAACACAGTGGGGGATGAGAAGTGAGTCAGTGTTTATTTCAGTCCTCAATAATAATTTTGTGTGCGTGCCTAAGTACTTAAGAGACTTGTACAGTATAGTGGAAAGACAATGTTTGCAAAAGCTGGGAGAGAAGGATGAGTTAAATATTCCCACATCATGAATAACAATGATTTAACAGAAAACTGTCTGATCTCACACACTCTGTCTGGCCTTGATGGCTGTTGTGCACATTTTGGATACCGACCACAAAGAAGATGTTAAGCAGAACATCTGACCAGCAGACACCGCTGGCTTCTGCTCGTTGGTTTTGATCTTATGAATGGAGAACGATATCTCGCTCACATATGAGCAAGGTTTGGGAATTTATCACCGAATGACAAACGGAAAGAAGAGGAAGTCGGACAGACAGGCCTTACATGTGCAGTTTTGGTTTTCCAAGCAGGAAGCAGGCAGTTTTCCATGCCAGTATACTGATATTCAACAGCTTTGTTCAAGCATTTATTGTTGGAAAACAGTACACATGCAGTTGGTTAAACTTTGAGTCAGAGGTATGATGGAGCTAGAGGACATGGAATACCTGAGGTGTTCTGTTTCCTCTGGCTACATACAGCCACGTTGTGTTTAACCGTCATCAGCATCATCACCATGGAATTGTGTTCCAGGAATATTTCAATAATTTCTCTATGATTGTGACTAGGAATCTGAGTCAGAGGCAGCAACCAGATGTCGCACAGTGTCTCCAAGTGGAACCTTGCAGCCATCTTCACCTGGCACTCCAGGATTTGGGTGAGACACATTCTCTGTGAGTGATAAAAGCTGAGTGACTCCTTTTTTTTGTCCTTCCGTCCCTCCAGCAGATTGCCTGATTACTTTTAGATGCAGTGGTCATTATGTATTCATTTTGAGTCTACTGAGCCGATTACATACAGAAAGCAGCGAGGAGAAACAACTTCCCCTCACTGACTCATTTCCCCTCAATTCATTGTTATTTTTATCCTCTCACCATCTGTGCTTGAATTGCACTTGATTACTGCCAACAACATGCAACAAATATAGATAGGTAATGTCTAAGTGTTTGTTAGTAGAGGAAGTGGTTCACATTATAATTAGCCATTTAGATATCATACAGGTGCTATTTGACATTTCATGTCTGCCACAAGTTTGCCATGACAAATGTTTGGATGACACAAATATTGTGTCACATTCACAGAAACAACGACCACAATATTTGTCAAGGCTGTGTGAAGACATCATCATTACTCAGACTGCACCAGGCTCTCTGGTATCATCTCAGGCATCACAGCATATGTTCTAGCTTAGGAGGTTTTAAAAAGTCTTCCATTTTATTTCTGAAAGTCTTAAATATGTTCTCTTGCCTGATGTGTGTTGCAGTAATGTTATAAAATGGCTGTCAGGAGACATTTCACACCTATAAGCTAAATATTGGATTGTTGTGACAGTTGATTATCATGCAGGAGGCTGTTTACTCCTTTTTTGTGAAGTTTCTGTTATCACCATCAAACCTGTAGCAAACACTGTCTACTACTTGCTACAGGCTAGGAAACAAATTCATCTATCCATTTCCTGCCACTTATCTGGGTCCAGGTTGCATTCATTTAAGAGATTATATCGTCAGGAATTATTGGTCTTTACTGCTGGAAAGTGCTATAATTAATGATTATTTTTATTCTTTAATTGCATTCTATGTGCTATTAAAAAGGTATTAACAAGTCTTAAACTTGAGTAGGTGAACGCTGCAGAAAATGATGAATGCAATCTACTTTGCGTTGTTGCTCCCTCTTGTGGTTAAGAAAAGCATATATCAGTGGTGATTCTGAGAAACAAGGAGAGAATGACAGTGAGTGACACCAGAGAGATACAGTGGGTATCTACTGAAGACCCAGCATATGAGTTTCATAGGAACATTTCACTGTGTTGTACCTAGGGATCAAGCTGTGAATAATCTGTGGGATTATGGTGTAACAGTCTTTATGCTACTTATTAAACAGGGCACCTGGTCTGAGCAGTACTGTGAGAGACCCTCCAGTAGGCCCAGACCCAAATCTGAACTCTTCCACCTTCTCCGTTCAAGATCTCAGGTCAGTCCTAGCTTAACTGAATCTCTCATTTGTTTCCTGTAAAGTAAGTACACTGCACATCTCACTTTGTCCTCGTAAAATTGTACATTTCTGTGAATTTCAGAAGCTTCCTCCCCAAAAGTATGCCTCCCTTAACAGCTGTAACAGCATGGCATGATGAGTCCCTGGATAGGAGGGCGACTGACTTTGCTCCTTCATCTGAGTGGAGGTACATGGAAGACTGGCTAGGCATGTTGGAAATGAATGGATGGCTTTGAAAACAGCAGATTTGGTTTTTAATGAAATTATTCAACGTGCTATGGAAAACCCATGTGATTAGGATTTGCAGTTCAGAAATACATAGTTTCACATCACTTCACTTCGCATTACCTAGATCCCCTCCATTCATGTATTAAGACATATATACAAATAGTCTGCTTGGAACAATGTGTGTCTGATTAGTTTTTTTCCACAAAAAAGTATAAATTCCACATTTAAATTCTTCAAAATACATCTACCCCCTCTACCTCATTAACACTTCCAGAATCTGTGAATATACAAATGTTGTTCATAAAGTTTTGCTGCTGGACACAA